CTCGAAACGTAGTATGTAATAAACTCAGAAGTAGTATATCCATACATCTTGTGTTATTTATGTTTGCCTTCCTACTTCTATATGTCTTACAAATAATGTGCACCGTATTTTGAATTTATTTGAATTTCATGCTATTGTAGAATATTGTACTGCAACAAGAAAAGTTCACCCTCCAGTAATTTACCATTAATATCATTAATATACAAAGTTAGCAGTGACAATCATCAAAAAGGTAAAACACAATTTTCTAGATATTATAGAAATTGTGACTTTTTTGACAGTTTATCTTTCATTTGCTATTTAACGAATGCAGGGACATCTATTTATAAAAACGTGGACAGCTATTAGTTTATATTGAGATGACAAACTGATCTGAAGAACACAAGGGGTATATTATCGTATAACTCACTTCTTTAATAACAAAGCACATAATGTTTCAACACAATTTACACGTGTCGTCATCAGATGAAATGAAGTAGTGGGGGTAAACATGAGGATATATAACAAGAAGGAAGCCGTGTACAGAAGAAAAAGTGAGTTATACCATAATATACCCCTTGTGTTTTTTGTTATATCTACTCTCCACTTCTAAATGTCGTTCAAATCTTAGCTTAAGAACTATGAAATTATCATTGTCTATTTCCAGCTGACCTAATGGTAGAAAAAATTCAAGTGAATGTTTATATACAATATCTAATGGTGCTTTTAGATTTCTTTTATGGTGCTGTTATATCTACTGGACCGTTAGAGACTATAGACATGATAGACAATCAACCAGTCTTTCGTAGTCCACCAGCCACCTCTAAAATGAATTTAAATTTCTATGGAACTTTAAAACATCCTAAAATTGTTCTGTTTGCCGATCCAAGTAATGAGAATAGTAGAGTTGCAATCTTGAATGTAAGTGAAGATCAAAACTTTGTCCTGTGATTTGAAAGGAAAATGATGTGTATATTCTTAGATATTTGTCGTTATGTTGAATTTTAAACTAATGAATGTGTTCTGCATTGAGACCTAATTGAAAATAGTCTAATTGAAAATAGTAGTGTAACAGATCACTTTGATATAAACTGTTAAGTATGATGAAGTAAGACGTATATAAAGGTATAATGAATATAACTAGTGTCTGCTTTCATAAACATCCTAGAATATAATGTTAGAGATGTCAAAATAGATAACTATAGTTGTATTTATAAGGAGCAGATATTTACTGAAACTTAAAACCCAAGGTTGTGACTAGTGTTAAATGAGGGCTTCTGACGAGATTCAGTAAGATTGGCAAAACAAGCTAAATTTTTAGCCATGTTTTATCATTGTCTGTATAAGGCCACCCTCACCACCTGTCACATGACAGCAAGGGCAAGCTACTCTCTCTGATTAGTAGGGAACTAACTACTTCAGACCACAATATAACACTAGTTTTGTATTGATATATCTTCATTATTTGATTTGATTGATCTATGTGTTTACTTCCAGGCTGATATAGCTGTAGAATATAGAGACGATTCTGAAAAACAGGTGGTATGGTCAAAAATATCAAATCTCCAGATGATCTCCAAATTACAGATGACAGATAAATTATATAGTCAGGTAGGTCACGAGTTCTAATTTCGGTCAGCATGTGTAAGTCTGGAGACCTTAAATAAGCCATCTTTCTTTATTATACCAGTCCACCCAGCTGTAAATGAGCACAGTTAATCTGGGAAAGATCTATGCCAGGATTTTGGCCATGGACAGGCTCAGAGACAGAATCCTCTTGAACCTAAGTTGTTGGTCCTTTCTTTTTCATATTTCATATTAAATTTATTTTCTTTTTAAGGTTTTAGCACCATGTTCTCTAGAATACAATCAGACTACAGAGAAAGCAGAAAGTGCTATCATTGTTAAACTGAGTAAAGTGAACGTCTATTTCTGTGCCACCACCTTTCAGATAGTTTGGGACGTCTATAACATGATTCAGTGGCCAGAAAAAATGGTAAGTCTGGAATTCTTTCCTCGACATTCAGGGGGCATGTTTATACCATAAAATTAGTTTCAGGGTTTCAGTGATCTAGTTGGACAGAAACTGAATCAGTTTTAGATTTTAGTTGGATCGACCAGTTCTATTATCAATTCTTTATCAAGCTATAGCATTGTCTTTAAGAATTGATGTGTATAATTTTGGCTATCTGTAATATAAATAAATAAATTTGAGACGAGACGAAATTCTATGTAGAAGTGAGATATAAAGTTATACTCCCCATAGGAAATGGATTAAGGTATATATAACCATGTCATATGAGATACGTTTATACTTAATTGAAGATGAAACAGTCTTTGTTATTAAGACAAATTTTGAACAGGAGAGCACAAAAAAATAAATCTTATAATTTATATTATGGTTTAACACACTTCTTTGATAACAAAGATTATGTCATCTTCAATTCATTATTAACTTATCTAATTAGAATCCATTTTTTACGGCATTTACTTGAGGCCTTTTGTTTTCAATTTCAGGAACCTACCAATGGCCACAATCAATCCAGCAGTTCTGAAAATCAGAGTTTATGGAATATTGGACCTGTCAGTGGTAAAAAGTGGCTGGAAATCCATAAAAGGGATCAAAGTATGTATGAATAAGACTCAACAAAGTCAATAAAGTTGTAGTCATTATGAAGGGTTCATTTTCAATATGGTGGCCTATTTCTTTCAGTAATATGATCTTCTTGACTGACCTAAATCTGTTTTCTCAACTTTTAGCCTTTGATTTCAAAACCAAATACCAATTATTGAATTTGAACTTTACAAAACAAAAAGTGGCTTGTATATAGCTAACAAAGCATGCACAATCTTTTATAACACCAGAGACCACTGTGCAGTCATGTTTGTGAACTTGGCATTTCTTCTTGAGTGCCTATATAGCTAATAGTGCTAATTAGATCAAGAGACGTCCGCGCTAGTGCCTGGAAATCGATGAACATAGTTTGTTGTATTTTGTGAATAAGACACAAAGAAAATGACAATACTATTTCTTTTTTATTTTTAGTGGATAATTCACATAAGAGAAATGTATTTAAAGCAGCAGATAAGCCAGTTGAAACATTAAAAATAGATATCTCAGATGTTAATGTAATATTTGAAGTAGAGAATTTAGATAAACATGTTCCGTTGTTATGGATCAAATCAGCTGTAGATGTTAAGATCTGTGACTGGACCTTAAAGGTTAGTGCTTACTCTTTGGAACACCTGATGCCACTTGGCACTTGGGTTTGTCAACTCTGCATTGGAAGTAAGTGATTATTCGTCTGGTTTGAATGGCATTTGTGAATTCAGAAGGGTCTTGTCAACTCAGAGTCCAAGAAGCATATAATCTTACACTCACCATTTTTGGAATGTAACCATCTAAATGGAACCAATAATTACAAGCACTTGTTGCATTCATCCTTTGAGAACAAGATTGTAGAAGCATGTAAAATGTCCTTTTTATTTCCTGTTTTTCTAGGTATTCAAATGAATCTTCAATTTTTCAAATGTTTTTAGATGCATCTAGAAACTGAGTGTCAGATTGAAGTGTTTTATCTAAATGAGAAATTGGGAGTATGGGAACCTCTGATTGAACCAGTATTTGAACAGGAAGGAGTTTACAGACCATGGGAAGTCTTAGTCAAGGTATGGCTGTAGCTAATCAGAGATAATTTTTGTATGTCAACATTATAATGTGGAGTTTGTCGAGTTTGACATCAGAGAAGAGTAGGCTTATGTAGTGCTGGGTATTGCAGATTGTTGATCATGCCGTGATACCATACATGTAAATAATGTATTGTGCAAGCATTGTTTAGTTCCAGCATTGTACATTGTATGGTGTTGCCTGAGTATTTTAGGTCAATTAGGTGCAAGAAAGAGACAAAAGACCATGTGTGCCTTTGACTATGTACACTGAAGATCTCCAGACATCTCCAAATGGAAAGTGATAGCAGTGTAAATACACATTCTGTAGTGTTGAATTTCATTTCTCTGTTCTATCCAATTTGTATTGATTTTTGTAGTTAATCATGGCTCCCAGTTTTCCGATTGCCTGTACGTATGAAGACAGTGATTTGGACATACCTGACGGACTCCAGAATGAGGTTCAACAGATGATACATCGGTCCCGATTTAAATCCAGTAGTTCGGAGACTGACACTGACTCGTCGACGGACATGATGGTGATTAGACACAAATCTATGAGAAGAATACGAAACAATGGAGGCAGCAATAGAAGTTTTGGTATGTACTCTGTTTTATTACTAATAAATATTAAAGAGACTGTAAAGAGATTTTAGAAACTTTTTATCAAAAGAAAAACATGATCATTCAATATTATCTACATTGGCGCTGTCAGAAGTAGTAAACTCAAATTACATTTCATTTCATTTTGATATATATTTAGACAAACCAGTTGAGACTATGGGTAAGTTCGAGCTAGATCTGGTGATTTGGTTAAAACTGAATAGTTTCGGTTTTGAGTTCTTCCCTTTAGTTCTTTCAAATGCTACAATTTCCCTATACCCAATGTGAAATTTATTCTTTAAAGTGATTTTTTTATTTACTTTATGCACAATGTTTTCGAATAATGTAATGATAAAGGTGATTTGAATTATGAAATCTTGCTTCATTCAAGTTATAAGATGAATCGTTTTTATTATTCAAACATTAAACTCCTTTCGCTGCTCTTTTTGTTTTACTTTTATACTTGATAGACCTCTCTCAATTTTTCTTTTACTTTTAGATCATTATATAAGACATTATATTTTTGATAATTTAATAATCCATGTTATTATTAAGTTGGCACTCCTCGTAAGAATTTATTGCTAATTTTCCTTAGAAAGTATTTAAACTGATTATATTTCAGATTCTCTCAGCAAACATAGTTCATTACAGGGTGAATCTGACTCGGAACCAGAGGGCTTCATCCATAATATAACTAATAAACTAGGTAGTATCTTCTCTACTGACAGTAGTGATGCTGACGTTAGCGAACTGGAAGATAATGATGACGTTATCGATTCCTCACTGGATAAACCAGTCTTCATTACATCCTGTGGTCCAGTGAACGCTTCTACCGGTTTGCTTACATTCTACCTTATTGGTGTTGTGTAATCTTGATTTTCGGTTCATAAAGCCTTATTTGTGTAACTCCCCTCAGTCCTTTTTGGACTCTTCCGCACATGCATTTCTCTAGTCACTTTCAGTTTTATGTATCTATGGAAGAGTCCATTATTATGCATTATCTATTAATTTTATTTCTACCTTATTGGTGTTGTCTGGTCTCCAGTGTTGGTTGACATTAGCCTTATCTGTGTGACACCTTGGCTTTTTTTTGTCTTTTGAACTCTTCCATACATGCATTTCTTCATGTCACTCTCAATTTTATGTATCTATGGAAGAGTCTATTATTATGGATTATCTATTATTTTATTTCTACCTTATTGGTGTTGTGTGGTCTCCATTGTCGGTTGATATTAGCCTTGATATTAAGTGATATCCTCAGTTTTTTTTTTGTCTTGTGAACTCTTCTACACATGCATTTCTTGGGTCACTCTCAATATTATGTTTACATTATTATTATGGATATTTTTATTTCTATCCTTTTGCTGTATTGAATTTTTATTGTAACACCTCTCAGCCATTTATTGGACTCTTCCACACATGCATTTCTTCAGTCACTTCAGTCAGAATCCATTTTTGGGGGGTATTTTTTTGTTGTGAAGAGTCCATTATCATCAGTATTTTTGTTGCTATCATATTGGTATTGTGTCTTTCCTTTTGATTTTTGGTTTAACCTGATATGAACTCTTCTGCACATGCATTTTCTCATAAGTCCTCATTCCAGTATTATATTATTTTGTAGTCATTGTATTAGTGTTGTGTACTCATTTTTCATGACATGTCATGGGTGACGGATTAGCAAAAGCTGCTGTTTATTTTTATTGCTGTTCAAGGCTGGATATAGTGTGATAGTCATCTATTTGACACCCCTCAAAATGTATTGAACTCTTCCACACATGCATACTTTCTCTCAATTGAATCTTGAAACTGTATAATTGGAATAGTTCATTTGTAAAATTGGGGGTTATTTATATTGTTTGTCAATTTAATCCAGCTTTGTTGTATAATCTCATGTGTAGAGTAATACACGGGTATTTGAGTTTTCCAAAGAAACTATGGAATACCGATAAAGCAAAATAGTGTGGAATGACTATCCCTCTATACTTGATAGTTATTAACAAAAATTCAAAATCTTTGGTTAAACCATGCTATCAGGGGTAAACGAAGTAATAAAATGTTGTTTATACCATGTTATTTCAGGAATAGAAGATTATGATACAGTAGACGGTGGACCAGATGGTCTAGATCCAAACTCTGTTAGCTGTACCTATGTTATAATGGATTCTCAAGATCCACTCCAACTGAACGTAACACCAGAAGCTATTGGTGTCATACAGGATGTTATAGAGGTTCGTTCACAAAAATGGTTAAAGTTGTTTAGCACAGTCGGTTAGAGCATGGACATGACATTTGCTTGGTTTTTGTTCAGCAAATGGTGGTCAGGGGCTCTAAACTCTGTCAGCATGTGAAGGTCTGGTAACCTTAACTAGGTCACCTTACCTCATTATTCTAGTCAACCCAGCTGTAGATAGTTAAGGATAATTGAGAAAGATTCATGCCAAGAGGCTCGGCTAAAGACAAGCTGGTAGAAAAGATCTTAAGTTGTTATTCTTATAAAATATGGTTGTTTATTTCTGTCTGTGATATACTGACCTAGATGTTTCATTTTTTTTATTTGGAGTCGTCAGAAAAAAAATCAGCAACAACTATTTAGATTTCCATTTTAATTCTGATTGTTGATTAAATATTCTTTATGAGATTTTCTGTATCAAGTTTAAAAGTCATGAAAATTAATTTTCCAGGCTCTTATGAACACGACCTCATCTCAGCTAGCTACAGTTAGAAGTTTACCAGCATTTGATTTAGATAATAAGGTGAGAATTGATTTATGTCATTTTTGTCTATGATTTTTTATGATCTTCCAATAAGGCAATATAATCATGTTATCTTGATTCCATTTGTCATAGATATTTTTGCTTGCAAAAATCTAAAGTAAACCGTTTGCAAAACTTTATATTTAGATCAAGATAGGCATAAGTATCATAGCTTGGCTCCTGCATTGTATTATTGTAGAATAATTGCTGTTATATTTTACATCTTTGTAATTATCTATTTCAGATCGGAATTAAATGTTTTGTAACTTTACATCCCAGCTTAAAGGTAAGTCTAAACCTGCTTCAATAGATTTATATCTTCACTGTACAATACCTTAGTTGTTTCTTACTCATGTTTGTCCAGAGAATTTAGCTAACTGTACTGCAAACACTGTAGACTCTTTGTACTGACTCAATTACAATTGCCTATTGTGCTATGTGTGAATTGGTCTTAATAGGTTTTTATCTTTAGCAATCTATGTCAAATAGTCAATATTAGATCCACAGAAATATAGAAATTTGGAACAATAGTGGTATCCTGAATAAAAAATGATATTACAGGTGGGTATTCGAAAATTAACTTATGATGACTTCCTAGTAAGAATTCTAACTCGTTTATTTGTATATTGATGTTTAGATACATGAAGACAGGTTGGATAATGTAGTAATATTTAATTCTGGTAAAGATAACAGACAACCTGTATCTGAGGAAGATTTTGAAGATTGTCGTGAGGAAGAGGAAGAAGAGTAAGTCTGTAATCTTCTGTATTCAGACCACAGAAACCTTCCATTGTGCCAAGAATTGTTCTCTGTAATTCCTAGCATTCATTTATTGTCTGTATTCTGACCACAGAAACCTTCCATTGTGCCAAGAATTGTTCTCTGTAACTCCTAGCATCCATGTTATTGTCTGTATTCAGACCACAGAAACCTTCCATTGTGCCAAGAATCGTTCTCTGTAACTCCTAGCATCCATGTTATTGTCTGTATTCTGACCACAGAAACCTTCCATTGTGCCAAGAATTGTTCTCTGTAAGTCCTAGCATCCATGTCATTGTCTGTATTCTGACCACAGAAACCTTCCATTGTGCCAAGAATTGTTCTCTGCACTCCAAGCCTCCATTTTATTGTCTGTAATCTGACCACAGAAACCTTCCATTGTAACAGAGTGCCAATCAATCTGATATATTGCTTCAGAATTGCCACTTCACAAATCTTAGCTGATCTTTTAATTTTGTTTCAGTCATCTGGTTGGTCAATCACTAAGATCCATTTTAAATTTACTTTATTAACCAATCTAAAGACTGTATTTTTTTTAATTTGTATTTTATCTTAGTTAAAATTGGTGAATTGGTCCTGGCTATTAGGCTTATTAATGAGTGATTGTTTCTGCTTAATTTCAGCACGACTGATGGGTTTATCAGTAAGGCTCTGGGTACTATGGGACACAACCTAGTCAGTGCTGGGGCATTTGTTTTTGATGATGATGATGATTATTTATCTGGAGAGAATGTTGACAAACATCGACTCAGATTACAGGTAGGTCTACTGCTTTCTTCGTTTTCTGTCTTTTACCAAGAAAAGAGTGGAAGAATAGATAACAATTTAGGTTTCATGTTTCTTTTTCAAAGTTTATCCTTGATCTTCCTTAGATGATCCATACCCATAAACAAGGTCAATTGAAATTTGGTAAATTAAACTTTGGCACACAAACTGTGATTACTCATAGTCAACATTGTTCAGACTGGACAAGGCAAATAATATTATAAGATTAAAAATATTTAAAAGCATTCAAGGTGAGACATGCTTTGTAGACATTGACCAGGCCTTTTGGTCTGACTCTCGGTTTTGGTTAGTTTTGAAAGTCTTGGTTATTTCTGAACTTAATTTGAACTTTGACATTTACTTGTAGATTGATGGATTTGAACCTTTACCAACCTTACTTCACAGAAGAGCTTGTCGTAAACTTCTACCATTAACACCAAGAAAGGTAAACTCAGTTTTATCTCGATAATCTTAAACATATGTCATATCTGAGGTTTTTTCACATTAATTTAAAAGTCAATTCAGAGCTGGATTTTTTAATTAAAAACGAAAATTTAAGGAATATCATTAAAGAATCAAATAATACCATTTTAAAACTGACGATCAATCAATATTTATTGCTATTGTTCTTTCGAACACTTCCATAACAAATCAATTAAAGAAATTAAATTATTTATTATTTAGTGGCTAAAAACATCTATTCTTGTGTGATTTGCTAGGCCTAGATTTGTTTTCTGCAAACAATATTTTATATCCTTATTCATTCATTTCATTTATATAAATCATTCTTTTAAAGATATTTTCCTTTCATTCGAGCTATCTCCGAGCTATCTCCGAGCTATCTCCGAGCTACTCCGAGCTATCTCAACATGTCCATTGATCATTTCATTTATATTACATGATATCATCTCAATTTACAGTTACTTGTCAAGTAATATATTTATAAAATACTTTAATTGGGGTACATGTTCATTAATAAGGAAAATTATTTAAAGAGATTGTGAGGTATTTTTGTTTAAATTGTATTAGTATAGGGGACACTGATAGCATCGATAAGCTAGATTTCAATTTATAGTCACACTTCTGTGGTTCTTCCCCTAAAACTTACCATTTTGTGACTTGCTCGAACCAGTGATCAGAGATGGAAATGGGTTGCAGATTCATTTCTTTTCCAGATAAGGAGCGCGAAACACTTTGCTGCCAACGCTGCCCAAAAGTTCCGGTAATGAATTCAATAGTCACTTACATCTCTGCACTGATGTCTGACTGAAAATTGGTATGGTTAAAATTGATGCCGTCAGTATCCCTGATACACATAAAACATTTAGAAAAATCTACTTATAATCTCCATAGCCTCAGAAAAGAAATTAACTGATCATTTATTCATTCAATTATGTCATTCATTCATCACTTTCATCATTTTCTTCCTCCATATAGACTGAAGATATAATAGAAATTGAAGAGGTAAAGTCTATATACATCGTGCATGTTGTATTGTCATCTTATTGTCTAGTAGATATAGTGGCTATAATATGCATTCTAGCATACATTTTTATGATGTCAAGTTACTACAAACAGATTGTAATACCTTTACAACAATAGTCACCTTTCTTGTATCCTGGAAATTTGTAAATGCAGCCATCAGATTGGATTGTAGGCTACCAACCAGTCCTCGATAGAAGTCTGTAAATCATTAGCCACAAGCCATAATGTTTACACTCGCCGGCTCTGATTAGCTGTATTCGCTAGCGTACAATCCAATTAAATCACTGCATTCCACAATACAAAAAAAAAGAACCCAATGAAGTCAAGGTTGCATTCGCTAGAGTAAAATCCAATAAAATTGCTGCAATTCTTAATACAAGAAAAGAGCCAAATGAAGTCAAGGTATCAGACACAGTTTGCAGTAGCTTGACATGGTGAAGATGTCATAGCGTATGCTGAAGTTTACAATTTATATTTTCTCTCATAGGATATTCATTCTAGATATATTGTAGGCTTTTATATATTGTTACGCTTGTCACTAGTCACATAAGTCTGTTTTCAACAACTAGAAAAAAGTTTGCATGTTAGCCTTATGTTTCTGTTCAACAAAACCAGAAATCCAAGACAAATTATTGGCAATACAGCTTATGAACTTTTCATACAAGGAAGTATATCAATCAAGTGAGGAAGTATTTCATTATGAAAAGTGACAGCAGATCAAAGAGTAAGCAGATCCCGTCTGGTGTTTTAATTCTTCAATAACTCATCCTAAACTCTCATTCTTTGCTTAGATATTTGATACAGTATTTGGTAGAATTGTTTGCTGCCAGAAGCTGCATGAAATTCTTTCCATTAATCCAGGGAGAGGGCAGGGGATGTCATGTTAATAAAGATTTGTCTATGCTTATCTAAGACAGTGGATGTTTTAGGAAACTTTATGCATTGTTATCAATTGCTTGTTGCTTGAATTTGTCTCTATTCTCTAATCTTGTTATTATTGTTAGTTATTCTTGTCTTGACATTGTTTTTTTTCTGTCATTTTCTTCGTTATTTATGCATTTGTAGTTTAAGGAACACTCTTTTTTGTTCCTTGCTTAAGATATAATATTTGTGTTGAAACTATGATAATATATTGCTTGCTGCTTGTTGTCTGAGGCATTTTTCTCTGTAAACTTAGCAGATTTTATCAATTTTATAGGCTTAAGGTGAAATACTGGAGCTCTCTGCATACTGTATTTTTCTTTCTGTCTCTCTAGAACTATTTATGATATTTCTTCTATCTTTGTATCTATCTGAATCAAAGTGGCTTGTCTATATGTTATGTCTATTGAATATGAAGATTTTTGTAGTATCGCCATGAATATGTAAATATTTTAGCAAGTTTCGTATGGTATGATACTGATAGACCTTTAAACTATGAATTATGAATTGATATTTAAACACGATCATCAAATTATAAATATTTTAGCATGATCTGTATATTTTGGTACTATGATATATTATGGTATGTTATCATATGATGTATTATTGGTTTAGACTATTACATGAAATACATTCGTTATATTAATATGAATGATTCAAGCATTATCAACTTATACTCTTCAAAGAAAGTGTGGGGATGATATTGTATAAATATCTGTGCCTGTGCCCCATGGTTAATATCAGTCCACACTATGAAAGGAGATATCATGATATGAATATTTATTTGTTGTAGAATGGTATACGATATTGTGCCGTCATGAACGTAGATATGTCTCATGGTCGTAAAGTTATTACTTTTATTTCACCACTCTTGGTAAATATTTTACTTATTTTAATATTATGAAGCGTTTTGAATGGAATTAGTACTAGACAAACTCATTGAATGAAAGACCCAAGAACTAGTGATCTGAACAGCAAAACGAAACCTGAAATCCAAAACAACATATTGGCAATTCATTGGTAGCAGCAAATGAACTTTTCTGGTATCATGTTTATTGAATAGAAATTCTCTGAAAACCTAGCTTTATGGTGATAGACTGGGACACATTTTGCAAAAAATGAATGGACAGTGAAGCGAACTTTGATTTAAAAAAAAGCAACAGAAAGTTTCAGAATTCTGTCATTGATGAAACAGGCAGCATAAATAGGCTTTTGATCACCAGCTGTGTTTGAAGCAATTATCTTTAATATAATTTTTGTTATGTTTTTACATAAACTGGCCCCAAAGTTGCCAAACCTCCAGCTGATGAATTATATGTCAAAAATACACAAGTTTGTGCTGTTCTCAAACAAAATAGAAGCTACAATTGCTTAATATTTTCATCTTTTTTCAGATAAAGAACCATCTCACAATGAGTGTAGATGTATCGTGTAAAACAGAAGACTTAAAACAATCGAGACGGACAGAGTCATTCGCTGGTACCGGAGAATACAGTAAAATAACTAGTATATCTGTAGGAGACACATATAGTATACCATTATTTATAGCTTATTTATGTCCTGTTTATATCACACCTTCAGATCTAGGGTAAGAACACTATAGTGGCAGAGGAAATTCTATTTGACACCGCTGAACTCCCTATTGTACTCTTCCACGCATGCATACAGTATGAATTATATGTTTGATTGGAAGAATTCATTAGTAAAATTAGGTGTTTTTTGTTGTCTTGGCAGAACATGCTACTACCATTAGTATAGTATAATAGTATAGTATAATATAGTTATGACGCCAGGTAAGTTCGGCCAAGTTTGGGGCAAAACTGAAATTTAGAGGTAGTATATGTATTCCTTTAATATGGCATCTTTCTTGAAGATTTCAGCATTCACTCAATTCACTCTCCACCTTGCTTCTTTCCCCACAGATTTGTATATCAATTTCTATTGTAGCTATGAACAGTGTTATAATCCAATATGGTGGAAAGATTTACGTCAAGAAAAAGACCAATATAAATATTATATGTGTCAGTCAGAAGAACCTGAACGAAAACCTTTTAATTTCAAGGTATGTTCTATTTGAGATCATATGAAATCTATTGAATCTGGCGAATCCATGGCTGCCAAATTGGCAAAACTGATCATTTTTCATCCTGATAATGTGGATTAAAAGAGGTGAGCGTTGTATTGACAGTTATTCAGTATATCGATCAGAGAAATATTTAAGTTGTATTTTCATGTGATACAATATTACATATGGTAAATGTTTGGCTGCCTATTTGGTACTGAATGTAAAATCAGATTTTTAATCAATTTTCATCTATATTTCATAATTAAAAATGGGTGAGCGTTATATTCACAATTATACAGTAAATGGATCAAAGAAATATTTCCACCCTATGATATCAATGTAATAATCTATACAAAGGATGCATGAAAAATAGGTTCCCAAACTTCATGTTACATGATTTTTACAAATTTACAAAACAATTAGGCGTAAAATTCCTTGATTTATTTTGATTTCTATTGATAAACCTTAAAACGTCTTGTTTAGTAGAGTGTAAATCTCCATTTTATTTTAATTTATTTTTCTTTATAGTATGTAAACTATAAAACTAGGATGAAAAACTCCATTTTATTTGATTTCTGTATGTAGGTTCTTTGTGAAGAAGGAGATGAATTAAAACCAGTAATGAAAGTTCCGAGAAATCTACCCTATTATGATATAACTCTATATCCACCAGTTACATTACATAATTATTTACCATATGACATTAACTTCTCATTGGATGTGAGTTCCCGTTTTTCTTTTCAAATGCTGGTATTTGTCTGTGACAAGGTGCGATCATGTCAAATATGTAAGGGCTTTGGGCTTGAGCTCATGAAAATAAGTAGTGACAGACGCAATGGAAATGGCATTACAAACATTTCTTGTGTTTTGGATTGGATCATCCAGCAAACCAGCAAGTTATTGACAAAGGCCCCATTAGCAGAGAGCAGACTTCACTTTTAGTTTGAGTAAAGCTAATAATAAATTTCCACTGGACTAATTCAAGGCACTTGAGGACACAAATGAGTAATGCACCAGGGCCCTGTCCCTCCAAAAACCATAAGAATAAGTGTGTATGGAATCTAGTATTGAGATGATAATGTTTTTTGTGCAACAGGCCCCCCGACTCCATTTATTTGATACTGTTGATATATAAAGTAATGATAACTACATTTATTACAGGGTGCTGGTAGCAGTAGTTTAACACATGGTGATAGGACGTCACTGTATACAGCTGATTTAAATAAAACTAACAAATTTCATATACAGGTAAACACAATCTACATAGAATTTGAATTTTTATGTTTATACAAGGGAGATAATAAATAATGAGAAGTGTCCTGGCCACTTATTCTCGAAACAATCTTAGATGTCCTAGGATCAATGATGATAACCTAGGACATCCTAGCACTAAGATCCTTTCGTGGCTAGGTCTCTTAATGGACTGATACAGAGTTGTTGGCTCGTCAGTCGTTAATTTATTTTAAAAAATCATAAGGGGGATTTTTTTTGGTTTGAGCATATTGAATGTAATTGCTTGATAAAGATGGTCATGTGAGTGGCCAACTCTTTATTGCTACAGAGAATCTGGAAAAGACCCAGCTTTCGCACCTATGTTATAATGTCATCCTTTTAAAATATGGCTGCTTTCTCTTTGTCACTCTAAGAAATTTTTTGTTTTTTTGTTTGTTTAAGATTTCTGATTATCTGGGTTCGGAATGGTCAGGTAATCTGGATGTTAGTGGTGAGATGGATGAGTTCAAGGCCATCACCATGGAAACAGAAAGTGACCCAGATAACGTGAACAAGAATTTAAGTTTAAGTATTCACGCTGATCACCACCACTCATTAGATGTGTTTATTTATGCGCCATATTGGATAATCAATAAAACAGAATTACCGTTACATCTTAGGGTAAGTTCTGATTTTAATACTGTTTATTTTACTTGGTGTTTGAAAGAGTGGCTGAGAGAGATTGGGGCTTACATGGGTTTTAAATATAGGATAATGACGGTGGTTTAAAGTTTTAAGATTCAAGAAAGAGTCTAAAACAGAGGTTTTGGTTTCAATGTGGTCATTTATTGAAAGAGTTCCTTCTATCTTCAATTTCAATCGAATAAACAACCAAGATCAAGATTTCAGGATACTGAAACAGGAAAAGGCTGCCTCTGTTTGTTCGTTCTTAATGATGTATAAACCGTTATATTTGTTTGATTTTTTCAGGGATCTAACTCTGACGTAGTATTAGATATCGGTCCAGTTCCTCATCCATTGTTATTCAGATTTAAAAAAAACAAAAGGAAGAAGGTATGTAATAAATAGATTTTTCATAAATTTTTTGAGGAAAAAACTCAACTTTTAATAGATCAAATAATTGTGGAAAAGCCACTGTCCCAAATATGACATTTTTACATTTCAGAGTAAACTGCGTCTGTATGATTCAAGATGGTCGCAGTCATTCTCCATGGATACGGTTGGTAGTTGTGGTGTTATTGTTTGTCATGATAAAGAGAGAGGCAGAAAGCATATGGTAGGTTGACAACAGCTTCTCCTAGTACAGTGGTTCCCAACCTATTTCAGCCTTCACACCCCTGGAACAATCACATGGACCTTTCACACCCCAAAAATTTGTTTCATCCACATTTACAGCATGTTATGATAGGAAGTGGCCTCTCAATTCAATATAAATTCTTCTCCTACACCAGTTGGCCATACCCCTGACACCCTAGTCTCATGGCCCCAGGGGGTGAAAACACCCCAGGTTGGGAACCAATGTTCTAGATGTTTCCAAATATTGTACTAATTTGATATCAGATAATCAGATATTGCAAACTTACTGTGGTTTTGGAAAAATCGTAAAGAACTCGAACTGCATGAAAAACACATGTCTGAAATTTCTGATTCCAAGTTTCAAGGCAATAAATTGGTGAATAGAATTTGAGAAGGGTAAAACCACTGCATCAATATTAGTTTTTTATATTTCTATTTTCAGTTCATGGTTCAAAGTCAAATGTCCAAACTTCAGCTGACTAAAATAATAACAATTCTACCATTCTTCCTAGTGGTCAATTATTCCAGTAAAAAACTCAGGTTTATGGAGGAGAATGAGGATGCTGATTTATGGACTGATCTTAACATTAATCAGGTAATTATCATTGATTATGAATTATAATTAATCAGTATAATTAAACAGGCTTATTTTTAATTTCAAATGTCTTTAAATTAGACATTAATGCCCCAATATAGGAAGTCAATTTAATTGTCAAAACATCGTGTCTTTCGCTTTATTCAGTGAAATATAAATCAGTAAAGCTATCAGTAGGCTATAATGGAGCAGTGATTTTTCTTCATATTCTGATGATAAAAAACATCAACAAAAACAGACCACTGTATGTTGTTTTTTTCTTTATTATATTTCCGAGTGATTTATTTTCATTAAAATTTGTCATATTTATATCAAAAGAGCATTGAATAAAGATACTCGGTTTCCACATCTTCAAATTTGTAATTTGATTTTTCAGCATTTACCATTCTGGCCAGTAACGGATTCCTATAATATGTTTGTCAAATTTGAGAATAGTTCCGTTACCTCACAACATTTTCCTATGAAGAAACCTCATACTACAGTTTTACGTATGGATCAAGGGGTGAGTGGAAAACAAACTGGATTTCAAAGACATCATTTATTATGATGATCATATTTAGATATTTTCAAGACATGTGATTGGTTTTATGATGTCTGATCAACCAATAGCAATTGTCATTAGAATATGATTACAATCACTTTTCTTGTCTCAATTTCATGTGAAAAAAAATAAATAAAAAAAAGCATTATTGCAGATAATGGCTTTTGTGGCGCTGACTGTCTGGAATGTCACATGGTTTGTCATTCCAGAAGTTCACAGTCAGCGGTACGCGCACCATTTTCCATACTTTTGTAAATTGGTTTGTTAAGTTTTATTATTTCAGGGGTGAAGGAGGGTGATATAAATTCTATTTGTGCCAATCAGTTCAGCAAATTGTTGTATTTTTTGAATCATGGAGATTATGATATATTTAACAAATTAAATCTGTATACAGCCCTTATGTTAGTTGAGCTCACCTTCTTTCATGTTTTCAAATAAGATAAATATGTAAATTCTCAAGCAACTTTGATTTTTCTACTGATTATAAATTATGTTATAAATGTATATTTACAGTCAGCACTATGTGTAGAAGTTATAGGAGGAACTGATACTCCAATATCAGTAATATTTAGAGACTATGAACCAGGACAGGCACCAGTCTGTATACACAACCTGTGTGAAGATGTCTTTATCAAAGTTCACCAGAAGTGAGTTTTTAGATTATAGAATACAGTATGGTTAAAGAGTGTTTCTAGGCATATTTTATGTGTATCAGGTCTATGATTTCAGTCAGATGTCTATGGTTTTTCGAGTCCCACAAAAGCTAATTATCAAAGGGACCTCAGATATTATTATATGCTTTTGCGATAATGACGTTGCATTTCTATATTACAGGAATCACAAATATCTGACTGAAAATTGAAATTATGCCCAATGCACGTAAAGGAACTAGAAAAACTCTATACAGCCATATTTACTGAACCATTAAGTATAAAAGTGTGTTGTAAGAATATGGCAAATTTTAATAATTTTATCGGAATATTTTCACTTAGTCACCCTAAGTGAAAAAATATTGCATAAATATTATAATATATACATAAATTCATCTTCATAATGTCAAGGTATTACATGCTGTGTATTATACCTTGACTGCAATAACCACCTTTTTTTATAATTACTGAATGAAGTGATATGATTGGATTTTACACTAGAGAATAAAGCCAATCAGAGCCCTAACAGAAAACTATAAACATCGCTTATTGTTTGTAGACTTTCTGAAGAGTCCTCTGATTGGTTGTATTCGTAAGTGTACAATCCAATCAAATGGGTGCATTTACAAACTTCCATGGTACAAGAAATGTGGCTATTGCAGTCAAGACAATGTTCTACCTAATAATAGGTAATACCTTGACATTGTGAAGATGATATAAATTATAACAATCAAATATATTGGTACAGTCAAACTTTACAATTAGAGCTGGTCGATATTGGTTTAAGTTAATATGATATTAATCATTGATATATCATGATATAGGTATATATATATTGTACTTGTTAGAATTGTGCAGATGATGCTATCTGGACAAAATTTGACGATATATCATGATAACTACCCTATATCATGATAACTACCCTATATCATGATAACTACCCTATATCATGATAACTACCCTATATTATGATAACTACCCTATATCATGATAACTACCCTATATCATGATATGGTGATATTTCGATATTTTTGAATCAGGTGATATTGCTAATGATAAAACTTCTGATACCGGTATTTACCAGTATATCGTCCAGCCCTAACAATGATATTATTTATGATTAAAAACATGATGAATAGGAATACTGGTGAGATCAAACCCCTCTAGGTTCACATCACTGAAAGCTAATTGACTATATCCTATCACACGACATGGTCTGAACCAGCCTTTCTTTAGGCACACATCAATTTTAACACTGAATGACTCCAATTGATGAATTGTCAAGTTATTGAAAGTGAAAAGTTTATCGAATTCAGTGTCATTTGTGGATTTCACAGATCTTGACGTCTTTTTCTGAGATTTTCCTGGCATCAAATAAACTTTGACAAAAATATGTCTGCCAATATATCTGTTTAAAAAGTTCACTCGATGAATCGTTAGCATTATCAAGTTGGTAGGCTGTTCATGATGTAGAGTTAGAGTTATTTCCCCTTGTGGTTCAAACAGATTATTGGCTAAAACTGTCATGATACGACCATACTTAGTGCATTTACTGGTAGAGTTACGTTTACGTTTCTTTAGTAAATGATTCAGTGCCATTTTGTAATCTGTAAGAATTTCATTCTGCTCTCATATTGATTTAAGTTTTAAAGAAAATTGTTTTCTTTGCCATGGTTAAAGAACACCATCCAAGAAACAGTGGCCAAGGTCACAAAAATCCAAAATTTATCTACAATTTGTTATCCAGTATTTCACTGTACTATAAAGTGTTATGGATGATAATCGTACACAGAAACACTGGCCCAGGTCACAATAATCCTAAATTTATGAACAAAGCATTTCTTTGTTGATATACAGTATTAAAGAAGGTACTATTTCATAATAATAAGCCCAGATTCAGAAATCTCAAATAGTTCCAAGTGAAGAATCTATAACATTTGTTAGTACTATGTAGAAAATGACACTCCTGAGAGGTATTGGTCAAGCAAGACTCAAGATCACAATAATCTATAATTCATCCACATCCTTTGAATTATTTTTAAAAAAATGTCCATAATAGCTCTGACAGAGGTCACAATAATTGATCAAATTGTAGTATTTCTGCCAATCTCCTTCATTAATAGTGATGATCACAAGGATTTCTTCAGTACTTGACCAATTACTTCAGGTGAACTATATTAGAGATGGTCTTGTCTTATTTTATAATGATCCAATAACACTTTCTTAGAATGGCTTGGCTTCACTCAACCTGAATTCACTGTTGTATACCAAATGAGTGGTCTTACTTCACTAAATCTAAGCTGATTGTAGGCTTAGTCAAATAGGGTGTTAAGTTCTACTCTGTTTTATAGTTATTAAGTTGTCACCATGTTGATCTGGTGAGATTATTCTCATTACACTGAGCTGTCTTCAAGCTCAATTAAAGGGATACTGTTTTTCAAATTTTCAAATATATTTTAGCTTGTGTTAGGACTTAATATACAAGCAATATTAGATCCCATCCAAGTCTACTTCCAAACATAATCATGAGTAGTCCACGTTATTTTTGGGGTAGAATAAATAGTAATTGAAACTATCCAAGGCAGATTTATATAGTGTCCATTATACTAATACTAATACTACCTGAAAATGAAGTGGACTGTTCATTATCACATGTTCACTCGTTAACTGGTTGTCTAATTAGCCATTATAATCATTCTATAGGTGTATAGAGAGGATTAGAAGACTAAGTAGTAATACATTATTTTAGAAAAACTGTCTAAGACATATTTCTGGCCATTTTCTTTTTAATTTTACCAAAATATTTATTATAAACTTAAAGAAATTCATCATCTGGCAAGAATTTTAATATTTTACACAAAAAGAAAACAACCAGACACTCCCTGATTGATAGTTTTTTTCAGGTTTAATTACAATTCTATAATCTTACTCAGGTTCAGTTCTCTCACCAACATAGTGATCACTTCTAAATAGTTTTCTTCTGTATTGTAATTTGTTATTAGTGGAGTAGATTTTGAACAGTCGACTGTGCACTCACTGAAATAATCGATTATCATCGCTAGGATTTATATTTTATTATCGAATTTCATAGTTGATTAAATGTCAAAATTACATTTTGTCCAGTATATCTATTACAAGATCAGTCATCTACTACAAATAGTAATATCTTCCACAAAATTTCATTCAGCACATAACTTACCCACAATAAACTATAGTAACTGATTACAGCAATGAATATTCTCAACTCTAAAAGATAAGCAGTCCTAATCCCAATCATGATGGTCTCTGATGTTCTCTGATGGATCACCTAACATTTTCTACTGTACTGTGTTCTCCACATGCTAAAGAAATAACAGTTTTTCAACTCTGATATGATATCGTTACAGGAATCAAAGTCAGGTGACATTATTATCAGCCAATCAGAGTGTGTTATATACGTGGGATGAACCTGTAGCAGAAAGAACGCTGATGTGGAATGTTTATGGTAGAAAGAAACCAAGTTATCCTGCTTTCATTAACAAGGTAGGCATAGCCAAGGATACACATGTAATGGGAATTTTTGGATACACATGTATTGGGTTTTCCTAGATACACCTGTATTGGGTTTCCTAAATACACCTGTATTGGGGTTTTCTGGATAAAAATGGATTGGGGTTTCCTGGATACACATGTATTGGGATTTCCAAGATACACATTTATTGGGATTTTCTAGATACACAATACACATTTATTGGGATTTCCTAGATACACAATACACATGTATTGGGATTTCCTAGATACACAATACACATGTATTGGGGTTTTCTGGATACACTTGTATTAGAAACTCCACGGGAGGTTTTGCGCCTATGACACTTCCACAGAGCTACAGCATTTTAATTTTCAACCTCGATGGTTGACCTCCTTCATGTCAATCTGCCCCCTATTTTTACCCCTAGAAACATAGTATCTTCAATTTGTTTAACTTTTTTCAAACTAGGCCAATTCTTACAATTTTTTGACAAAATTTCAAATTCTTTACTGCAAATTATAACATTTACAACTTAACATAGCACATAGGTCCATTCATACCTGATCTGGCTTTAATATAAATCTTGATATTATTAGGATGGATATGGAGAAGTCAGACTACAAGTTCAATCTCTAAAAAGATCAAGTTCTATAGATGATACAGACGCCAGAGATCAAGCTTTTTTACAAGAAAGTAGTCCAGAAGGTAATTTCTTTTGGATATTCTTCTTTCTCTGGCTTTACATATAACCCATAGGCATTACAAAAACTGCAGATGAAGTACCTTGTACAAGCTAGTTCTCAATGAGGATAGGGTTGTGGAAGTCCCAGTATAAAATCTATTGTATTCATATTTCAGATGAAATTCATTCAAATTTGCAGACAAACTTTCCCCTATGCCCTCAGCTCTGTGAGGATAGATCTCGAGCACTCCCAGTTTTGAAATTTCAGATGAATGAGATGCAAATTGGGCAGCAAACTCTCCCCTACCCCCCCATTCTCCAAATCCCAAGTCAGTTGTATTTTGATTTCAGATGAAAGTGATGAAGCTGATGGGTTTTTAGGAGGGAAACATGAGAAGTCACTAGCTGGTAAAACTAGAACAGATAAAATGATTATTTACTGGGTCTCATATCTAGATGGTCAACAGAGAATACTGTTGTTTACACAAGATGAAAGGATTGCTTCTGCTGTTAGAAAGGTAATTCACATTTACAAACTATTTTAAATTTCAGCCAGTCTTAGTTTGTCTTCTAGAAATATTGAATTGTAGATGAACAATACATCAAATTTTATTTTTGATTAGTATTACTGATGGCTGACATTTAGCTCTATTAGTAGATAAATATAATCGTTAGAATATTATCTCCCTTTAAGGCATGATTGTCTGAATGAATATTGATTAGTGTAGCAAAGTTAGTTGATGTATATATATATTTCAGACTAACAAAATATCTGTTGTAAATTTGATATTATATTATGCATTGTGTCTTTATGTTATATATATTTTCTCAGGGCTGTAGGTTTGAAATTTGCCAGACAATTTGATGTCTAAATTCAATTTTTTATCCAAGTTTTTGGGAACAAAAATGTTCTCAAGATAACACGGATTGCTTGACAGTGTGTCTGTTCATTTATCTGATGGTCAGACATGACAGACACATACAACCAAATGAACAATCTTAGACCTTTAGGTAAACATGACTGGAAAATACAGTCAAAGTTAAAATCTTAGAGCTCTAGTCAGACATGACTGGTAAAAAGTATAGAGCTTTAATCAGACATGGATGGCAAATACAGTAAAATCAGCAGCCCTGATATATTTTGTTTGTACCAAGTATAAAAATGTAGAAGCACAAGATTATTGTCGATAGGTCAGTGAAAATCTACCTGAAAAAATTTTGATCATTGATATTACACATCCCATTTCCTTCATCCAATCTTTTTGACTGCTCTCTTATTGAAATGGTGTTTTGAGTGTTTGAAGGATTGAAAAGAAGTTTTTAAGCTTATATATGAGAATCTGGAAGACTTAATTTCAGCTTTTATTTACAATTACTCTTTTAACATCTGTGGTTCTTGTAATACCATTAAAACGTAATAGGATTATGATGCCAGTATTACAAATACTAAAAGCTTGAAAACTTCTTTTTAATCTCTTAAAAATGCCAGTCTCTTATATCTATGTTGTTATAGAATTTATCAATGTATTCTATATCTCTCAGGATTTTGTCCAAAGTGTGGTTTCTCACAAAGGGCTCATTCAGGTAACCTTGAACTTGAGTTTTGTTTTCTTTGCATTTTGCATTTTTCTTGACCTTCAACTTTGACCCTTGGCCTTTTTATTACCACATATAATTTTACATGATAAATATTTTTACTATCTTACATAACTATTTTTAAATTTTTTCAAAGAAATTATTTCACATTTTTCCAATTTGCATATCCATATAGAAAATCTGTTATTATTGTAATAGCTCGATCATATAGTTTGCCCATGTATAACCTTTTCTATGGTGGCTGAATTAGGACTGATAAGTTTTTAAGTCAAGCAATGGAGATCAAATTGCATGGAGCTCGAACCATAGTGTTTGTTTTCAAATATCTTTTGAGACATAAAATTTGTTGTAAGCCTAGTTTTAAACATTTGAAATTTAAGAAAAGGATTCTTTTTTAAAAGTCGGGTCCAGCCCTTTGTGGTCAGTCTTATTTTACCTCATGTCCTTGACTTAAAAACAATAAAACATTATGTCCTAATTCAAGCCCTAACTAGCCATATATCAACCAATCCCAGCTTTATGTATTGTTTTTTAAGTACTGCGGTTGTATAGTAGTAAGTAACCACCACACTCCAGCTGAATAAAAATGATTTTGTTTGTTTGATTGCTTGTTTGAATTGATGATGACATTAACATTAATGGAATAGTCCCAGATGAATTTTTTCAAACGAAAGAATGAAGTGCTTCAAGCATAATCGTTCCCAAGATCTGTTAAAAGAGTTGAGAGTGTATCAAAGACAGATATACATGTAGATTCTATTTGCATAACGCTGAATCTTGTGGTTGGGGCAATTACTGAAAATACTAAGCTAGTTATATCATATAACTGAATTACTATTCTTGATATGTCCCTGATACACTAAAGTTTTGGTTCCTATAGTTACAGAAGAACTTAAACCAGACTGTAATGTCACTTACTAAAATATCGAAAGCTAAAAAACCACAGTAATTCCTTGGAGATAATTCAACAAGAGTGAAGTTCATAAAACAAAAATACTGCCCAAAATTTTATTTAAACTTTCATCTGGTGCTGTTCCTTTAATCTGCATTTATTAATTTTGTGAGATTTGATTTGATTTGATTTGATTTTAATCCACATTATAATGCTTGTTGTATCTGATGTATTTGATATTATGTTAACATACTAATTGGCTCATAATTGTGAGCCTTTGTTGGTATTTTATCAACTCTTTATCATTATAATACTATCAGTACTATTCTGAAGCTGGTTTTTCAGAAACTTGACGATTCCCATCTTTCATTAAAAATGAAAAATGCCAATGTTTTCTTAGAGTTTTTGAACATTCCAAAAAACACATATTTGTGGGGTTGTCATGCTGTCAGAGACATTGCAGACCAGACTCAAATGTTTGTTTTTGGTAAGGTTCTGTTGAATATAGATTGGATATAGACTGTTTAAATGTCTGATGTCGAAAAATAAGAAATAACAGCTCTTTACCTAACTAGATTCAGTTGATAAAATAACAGAAAAAAACCTGGTATTTTCAGCTAAATGAAGGAGAGCAGACGTCTCTGGTGTTATTTGCATCTCTAGAGGGTATGAAGTTATCAGTTATTAACGGGTGTTCGGAGGAAGTAGCGTTAGTAAGTGTGTGTTCCAGTCCTGCTATGTGGGAAGTAGAGGTGAATGGAAGATGGAAGATGTTGAGTATAGAGCTAGCAACTTGGTTAGAAGATCAGTGGAAAAATCAACAAGTCATGGCCAGTTTACAAGATCAGATAGAGGTAGGATAGTTTTAAATTGGTTCTTTCAAAAATCCAAAATTTGAGAGCTGGTATAATGTCAACTCTCGAAAACATAGGACATGGCATCTGAAATTTGAATCTATTGCGTTATTAATACTACACACAGAGAAAGCAAATAAATTACACGATGATTTTGGTACTGAATTTGGTTTGGACGAGTTTGGACTGAAAATTTAGGCTTTCTTTTACTTCATGGACCATCAACCAAACCTTTTTTTACTTTGATGAATTTAGACATTAAATCTTAACAAATATATATTTTTTATCATGCATTGAAGAATAGAGTAGAATTGTTATATTATGTTATGTTTTAGGCTGATCTAGTGAAAATGCAGATGTCTAAACCGTTTATGGGATCATTACGTCGTATGTTTAACCCTGGTGTCTGGTTACAGTATCGACATTCCGAACATCATCAAGCTTTTAACACCAGGATACAGAGACTTCAGGTAACATGTTTATCAATCGGTATTCTAACTTCAGGTAACAGGTTTATCAATCGGTATTCTAACTTCAGGTAACATGTTTATCAATCGGTATTCTAACTTCAGGTAACATGTTTATCAATCGGTATTCTAACTTCAGGTAACATGTTTATCAATCGGTATTCTAACTTCAGGTAACATGTTTATCAATCGGTATTCTAACTTCAGGTAACAGGTTTATCAATCGGTATTCTAACTTCAGGTAACATGTTTATCAATCGGTATTCTAACTTCAGGTAACAGGTTTATCAATCGGTATTCTAACTTCAGGTAACAGGTTTATCAATCGGTATTCTAACTTCAGGTAACAGGTTTATCAATCGGTATTCTAACTTCAGGTAACAGGTTTATCAATCGGTATTCTAACTTCAGGTAACAGGTTTATCAATCGGTATTCTAACTTCAGGTAACAGGTTTATCAATGGGTATTCTAACTTCAGGTAACAGGTTTATCAATGGGTATTCTAACTTCAGGTAACAGGTTTATCAATGGGTATTCTAACTTCAGGTAACATGTTTATCAATCGGTATTCTAACTTCAGGTAACAGGTTTATCAATGGGTATTCTAACTTCAGGTAACAGGTTTATCAATGGGTATTCTAACTTCAGGTAACAGCCAATAACTGTGGCCCTACCTAGTTCTACAGATGTGTTATAAGACATTAAATCGGCCAGTTAATGCTTTCACTCAATGGATGTTCCCTTTTTTGTGTCATTTTTAGGGTTTTACCTATTATTTTGAAATTTGGTGAAATTCCATCCACGTAAACAACTTTTGACATTTATTAGACATAGGACTAACACTTAAAGATGTATTTAGGGATGGCAAGAGTTGTACAGATAAAAAAATCAGATTCATAGTATATCCCATATTTCAAAGTGTGGTCAAAAATTATGTAGCCAACTATCAATTTAGTATTTCTGTAATTTACTATATAAAAAGTTATAATAATGATATGTATCTATTTCAGATTGATAATCAACTAACTGATGCATATTTCCCTACAGTCCTCTATCCTACACCATTACCACAATATATCTTACGTAAAACAGGACCTAAACCATTTATAGAACTTGGTGTCATGAGACGAGCAATGCCTGAAAATGATATAGATACCATCAGGTTGGTGTTTCATTCTAACAATAAAAATCTCTACAAGCAAAACAATTTGATTAACATAGGTCGCGTCCAAAACATGACAAAATTGAGAGCAATAACTGTATTGTATTGGACTCCTCAAATGAGAATTACCAGGCCAACGTTTTCTCGAAACGATCTTAGCGATAGGATGTCCTAGGTTCTTATCTTCTGACATTGATTCTAGGACATCTTAGCGCTAAGATCGTTTCGAGAATACGTTGCCTGGTCTTTTTTTAAAAGTCTCTGCTATTCAACAATGTCTTTAATCAAATAGTATTAGGCTCATTTAAGATTGGAGGCAAGAAAAATGTGAGGTCTCAAGTAAAGAAAATGAAGATTGAGTATATCAACTGTCCTGTCATAATTTTGTTTGTAATATGTGTTTTAGATATATGAAGTTACTGGTACAAGAATTTAATATTAAACTAGATAAAGGCTTTATGTTATCAGTTAATGATGTTTTCTATCGTTTATTTGAAGAAGAAGAGGAAGTAAGTTATAGCTTGTCATCATATTGTATTAACTTGTCTGACAATGTAATATTGTGGTCTTAAGTTATCAAGAGTTATTTCCCTTAAGGGAGGGTTTGTTAGCCTAAATAACTAACTATCAACTAAATTTGTACCCTATTGTGTCTGCTTATCTCTAAACTAATGACATGTAAGGCCTAAATCTCTCGGTCAAAATACTGACTGCAGGATTTAGCGAGACATCACCTATTTAGCCTTGACAACTAGGAACCCCAAGACCTTACTTTAGTGTATGAAGTTAAATTTGACCAATGAACACCAAGATGACAATAGCCCAAACCCGTTCCTTCGGGGCGAAGCTTAAGATTGAATGGGGACCAGTTAAACTATCTTTGCAATCAAATAGCCTTAAAATATTTATATAGCTTATGAGTTTAGATTGATGGTTATTTATCATGTTGAGACTATTTTTGACTGTCATAATCCCTTCTCTTTTCCAGAGTTCTCAGTTACACAATGATTTGGTTTTGGCTCATAAATCATTACAAGATGTCACTGCTTCTATGGTAAGAATTTTTACTTCTATGTAATTTATCCAAGAATGAGTAAAATAAATATCTTTATAGGATATATAATATAACATGCACGTGCTATGAATATTCATTTACATGCTGAATATTCATACATAAACAATTTGGAATGCATTAAGAACCATGTTCCAACACGTGTTATTCAAATTGTTTCGTTCGAAAAGCTGTTAACAGATGAATATCACATTGAATTCATTTGTATATATTGTAATATGTGTCTTTAATCCAAAATTGAATTCTTGGTAATTCAAGTATTTTTTTTCCCTTTCAGATGTCAATCAAACCTCATAAAATATATTTTGAATATTTACACCTATCACCACTCAAGGTAATTTGTTTTTCTTTATGAAGATTGAAAACATGGCAAGCTGGTAAAGAAAATCCCAGAGAACTAAAATCTTTGACTAATGACAAGCTGGAAGACAAGATCCTTGAGGACCTTCAATGTTAACCGGGTCAAATCATTGCCAAGAACTTGAACCACAGATAAGCTGGTGGACGTGATCCTTGAGAACTTAGATGTTACGGTGTTTCCTTCAGAATAGCATTACCAAAATCTGATAGACAGGATATTGATATTCAAAACTAAGTTATTATCTTATTAAAGCCATAGTCATGATCTTTGATGAAGGACAAGCTGAATCCCCGTGAACCTTAGTACAGAACTTTGTTGTTAATGTCATCATTACTTTATTTTTCAGCTACATGTCAGTTTTTCTGTAAATGGTACACCTCATCTAATCAATACACCAAAGACTTCTATTAAATCTGATATAGTAGCTTTCTTTCTCAATTCTGTTGGTGCAACGTTCACAGAGATGAAGGATGTTATATTAAGGTATGTAGAGGGGCCTTCACACAGGTGCAATCTCCAGTTTGATATGGTTGCGGATATGAATAGAAATCATGACCACTTTCATTATTCGCAACCATACTCAACTGGTGATCACTATTGTGAGAGGGCACCTTAGTGTAATTGATTCAATTACCTTCAGTAAGTCAGAAAGTAAGGCAAGGTATGCATGCGCGGAAGAGTTCATTAAAAAATAAAGGATGTCAAATAGATGACTGGTACACTATGTGCAGCCTTGCCTGCTTGCAATGAGCAATTGCCTCTGCCACTCTCATATCCCCTTTCACATAGCTATTAATTAGAACATTGGTGTATATCCAACTGTTCCTCATAATGATGGCAAAACTTCTAACTTATTAACTTTTTATCTTTCAGAATGGCATATTTCCAACGTAAAGGAGTTTCATTATCAATAGATCAACTTGTTGGTCAAATACAATCTCACTATACACAGCAAGCTTTACAACAGTCTTATGTTTTAATATTAGGACTAGATGTATTAGGTAATCCCTATGGTCTAGTTAGAGATTTTACTCAAGGCTTTGGGGACTTCTTCTATGAACCTTTCTTGGTAAGCTGTCATTCCTCTTTATATGCTTATATTGGTGCTACCATAGTTGATTGTAGACACTCTAGAAGTCACAATTCTTGCCAGATTTTGACCAAAATATTGTTAATTTTCACCAAAAAAATGTTTAGCTGAAGGTTGAATATTTCATACTGGTGATTGTAACTGTAATACCAAATACTCTAATTTAAAATAACCTTTATCTAACATTTATTAACAAGCTATCTTTACATTTTGTACCCACATAATGTTTGTTTGTTAAAGTGTTAAAATGATTATATTATTGTTTACAGGGAACAGTTTCTTGTACAGATGATTTTTCTGAAAGTTTAGCTCGTGGTGCTCATAGTTTAGTTGGACACTGTGTTGGTAAGTAATCTTTTTATTTATATGTAATACTTATATAGATAATATGAAATGGAACTTTAGGTCCTATTTTTCCTGGCTCTATATCAGGGGTGTTCAACCTGGGTGTAATTTTGAAATTTTTGGGGGATAGGTCTACTGAGACACTTTGTTGTTTAGCATAAAATCATTGGACAATTGTAATTTTATTCAGTTAGGATTCAGTTAGATCGAAACAGTTCAGCCATTATTTATTTATTAATGTCCTTCAAGGCAATACTGTTACATGACAACAAGGGCAAGCAACTCTATTTGAATATAAGGGAAGTAACTCTTATTAAGAAGTGACTAGTCCAGACCACAATTAGCCGTGTGGTGCATCAGACTCTGTATTGACCCATCACCAATGGTCTATGATTTAAATTTATTAGATTTTGATTGTCATATTGTCATGTAATCTCTAAATGTATTGTTTTCTGATTTATTTATTGTAGGTGGAGCAGCAGGATCTTTATCTATGGTTACAGGGTCAATAGGTCAAGCTCTAACTATATTGTCTTTCGATAATGACTATAGAAGGGTAAGTTTTAAGGTATTTTTAGTTATCCCCTTGATAAGTGAATGTTTGGTCCAAAAGGTGTATTCCCTGAATTATTAGACACTGAAGCAACCTTCTGTTCACGAGAGGTAGTATGTTCAACTCCATTGTTTAAAAAAAATTTCTATCATTATAGAAAAGAAGAGCTAGAATGCAACAGCAGCCTAAACATCTACCAGTCAGTTTAGTGGTAGCAGCTAAATCTCTTGTTATAGGTGTTGGTGTGGGTTTTTCAGGTGTTATTCTAGATCCAATAAAAGGTATTTAATATCAATTTTCTCATTTTACTACCACTGTAATATATATATATATAAGCAAAATGTGTTGATGAAATGGAAAACATTCATTCTTCTTACAATGTTTCAACAAATTGTTGTTTTGGATTTTGGGTTTCATTTTGCGGTTCAGATCGTCATTAGATCTACTTGGTTTATTTATTTTATTTAAAATAGCCCATTCTTATTAGAATAAAATACCTAAAGAAAAGAATTGTTGTATAAAGAATCCTGTAAGGGAGATAATTTGATGTTCTTCCATTAAAAGGTGCTCATGAAGATGGTGTAGAAGGGTTTTTTAAGGGAGTTGGTAAAGGAATTCTAGGATTGCTAACTAAACCTACAGGTGGTGTTATAGATATGGTCAGTATGGCATTTGATGGTGTCAGAAGGTAGGTTTATTATTGCCCTTTAAAACACTATCTGGTTCACTGTCTGAAAAGATCCAAAACTTTTTTTGCATGAGTTTCAAAGCATATTCCTTTTGCGATCAATCACCAATCAACATTATTAATAACATGCATCTGTCATATTATATTTGCAACGTTTACATTCAAAGTTACAGTGTGTAACACACAGGGCTTATGTTTATTCGCTAGACACTTTTTTTAATGTCCCCTCTTCTGATTACTGAAAAGGGAAAAATCGGATGCTTTTCCATTTACCAGGATCAAACCCTAGACCTTCAATCTGACTCAGTGAACAGACAACATTAAAATTTAAAATCATTGGTCTGTTTATAGAGCTGCTGAATCAGAAGAGGGTGTTGTTGCTAGAATTAGATTACCTCGCTTTATTAATCCTGCTATTGTAAGTACTTTCAATACACTAACTTAAGACCTGGCAATCAGTAACATTATTTGATAGATACACTGCTATCACAAATCACTTATTTGAAATTGAATACTCAGCTTTGAAATGTTATTTTAAAAAAAGAAAAAAAAGGCAATGATTTAGAAGAAATAAGCATAGAAAAGATTTGTATTTTGTGAACAAACAATTTGCAGTTACATTCATTTATTAGATGGGACCGTGAAAATGCATATATATCTCCCAGCAGGACAAACTCAGTCTTTGTAAACCTATTGACAATCTGCAACTGTGTTTGATTTTAATTAATATTTTCAGAGATATAAATTTTTTATTTCTAATCAAATAATATTGTTATTTCAGGGTTTACGACCATATTCTCCCTATAGAGCTTCTGGAAAACGGTTATTAGAAACTTTACGTAGAGCAGATTTTGCTAAAGGTGATGTTTATTGGTCTCATGCTCCGTTAAGTAAAGAAAAATCCGATGTCTTTATGCTAACTGATAAGTAAGTTACTTTAAAATTTCTTCAAGAAATTTATAGTGAACAATTTTTACCTTTTATCCAAAACAAAATATTGACGAAATATTTGTAGCAGCTAATGAACTTTTCATGTGAGGAAGTATTTAAAGTCAGTACTTCATTATGAAAAGTGGTATCAGGTGTCTAGAAGAGTAGTCATATACTTAATCCTCCTATTTATTACAGACATATAATACTGTGTGAAAGAAGTAAATTTTGGGGTAGTTTTGTAGTAGATTGGTATATAGATGTAGATGATTTATTAGGTGTACCAGCTATTGTTGATGATAAACTTATCTTTAAAATTAAACAGGTATGTTTAACCGCTTTCTAACCACTTCAAATACTATACTGTATAATTGTGGATATAGTGCATCCCGTCTAACCGTCGGGTAAATTTGGATAAATCTGTCATGAAATATTGGCCTCTGGACAAAGAAAACGTAGACATCATAATAATGGTTATGTTGCATATTCTTCGACTCTACCTTATGGTGAAAATTAGGGTGAAATTGTTGTTAGTGTACTATCTTATATCTGGAAGATGCTTTTTAATGCATCTGTGTCAGAATAAGAAAATATCAAACGTAGCATTTTGTCAGCTTGTTGTATGATTTGAAATTTCACATTATAACCCTCATTGCATGCTGTGTAATATTGCTAGTTTGTTGTGCATGGAAAATTATTCAAGAGAAAATGGTTTTTACTGTCTTTGACTCTCAATACACAGGCTTCATTGGTTATCAAGTTAAAAAATAATATAACATTGTATTTACTTCACTATAGGATGAAGATAGTGTTAGTTTATTTGGTGGAACAGAAAGGGCATTAACAGGAGCCAATAAAGATGTGTTGTTATGGATACAGAAACAACTAGAACTGGTTATTAGGCATCGAGTTATATAAAACAACTGAAGAATTGTTGTTGTATTAAGAACTGTGCAATATTTTAATTCATTTGTTATGCGTTAAAACTTTTTCTTGCTGTTAAGTTTTAAGGCATTGCTGATTTTAGAATTGCAAAACAATGCTGATTGTCAAATTGAATCAAATTTAACATGGAATAGGATTAGTGGCTATTTCGAAGGTGATACTAGTCTCCGATTTAGACTTACTGCTTGTCTAAATTCTCTATCAATAAGATAGTAAAGCAAACAATTGCTCCTCTGTATAGTCAAACTTTATTATTTAGTCAAACAGCAGCAGTGGTTTTTGCTTTAATTTATTTAATTGAATATGGACTTAGGCGCAATTATTCAATATGAGTCAGTAGTCATAAAAAGTGCTTCGTGTTTTTATTTACTCATCTTTTCAGAGCATTCTAAACAAATTTAAGGGTCCAAATAAATTATTTGATTGCATTTCTATTTGATATTTATATAGTTTATTTTTATTAATTGTTCATGTTGAATTATTTATTTATTATTTATGTAGGACTCTCTATCAGTCACATGGGTTAATAATTAAACTGGATTTTGTGCTGACAGAAAAGAGTATGTCCTCACAGTACATCATCTTGTGGCAGTATGGTAGAGGGTCATAGTATTATAAGATGGAAGTTATCACCATTGAAGTTGAAATATTGCCATGAAACATTGCAAAAATTCTTTCAGATACAATACTTGTATGAACTGTAACTTATCACATTTTTAAAAATGTTTTCAATAGATATGTTTCTATCCATAGCTTCTATACTCATTACGGAGGTTTTTCCCACCTAATTATGTGTATCAAGAACATCTAAAGCAGCGATATGAATTGTTTCATATTTGGAAATGTACTTGATACATGTGAAAAGGCCAGACAACCTCTGACTCGAAAGTAACTTAGTGCGATCTCAAAATAATTTATATATTACAAATCATTTTATAAGATAGCGATAAAATATAGTCATGCAATGTATTGTTTAAGATTACAATTTTATTAGTTAGTATTGTAGTGATTTCTGTTAAAAAGGCAATGAATACAACAGTTCTGATATAAAACTTGTATGCTTCATAAGCCAACATATATAGTCAAGCAAAGGTATTTGTGTACATGAGAGTCTAATTCAAGTCGTAAACACAAATGGTCCACTTCTACGTAGTGTTAATATTGTTAAATTTTATTTATTCTACACTAAAATAAGTGTTTTATTATGTTTTGAATGGACCCAGTTGTGTAAACATATCTTTGTTAAACTATAATATCTAAACATTCATCATATCTCTTACCAATATTCCAGTTAACTTTTATTGTATTATTAATCTCATTGTTTAATCAACTTGTACATAAATTATTCCAGTTTTTATTTATAAATATTCCTGATATTATTTATGTTATTGTGATGATAATTCTGTATTCATATCAATAATTGTTATTTTACTTATGTTCATGTTATTTATTGTTAACGTGTATTAAAACAATGCAATTAATGTCCCTAAGTGTCTTAGTACCTATGTTTTTTGGTCTATGAATGCAGCATACTTACCATGGTATGTTGATGGTATACATGCACGGTCTACTGTTGAAGTATAACAAGGAAAGAGAAACAAATAATTACTGTTACAAACTTTGTCTTACACCTTTCTTCTATTATAGAGGTTTGTAAATTCAGAGATATGATTGGATTGTACGCTAGCGAATAAAGTCAGAGCTCTCAAGAGAAAGTACAACCAATCAATGTGAAGATGACCTTTATAATGTAAATATTGATAGAACTTGGTGTAATAATTATTTCATCCTTTATACAATTTTCTTGTAATTACAAATAATACATCAATATAACAATATACATTAAACAGAAACAAATAATCTGATCTTTAACAAAAACCATAATTCATAATTCCCAACAAAA